TTAAAAACCAGAGTGTGTGTAAGGTGTGATAATTGCCACTGGTAGGCCCTCTCAGCTGACAGAGCAAGAAGATATATGTGTGTATACTAACACATACACATACACACACAAATCTATGTTTCTCTATATAACTGTAGATTTATTTTTTAAAATGAGTTTATATTAATACCTCTGATTCTAATCCAGCACCATAAAGTTAATTTTAGCCAAATACTTTTTTTCCCACCAACGAGAACACTGACTCTCATTATCTACAATATAGATAATTTTACTTATTTATTCAATTCTAATGTGCTCATAAAGTAGTTTCAGAATTGATAACCCATATCCCTGGGAGACACTTTTTTTATATATATATATATATATATATATATATATATATACACACACACACTGTACTATATTAGACTACAATACGAATATATATATCTACACATATATATGGTTTTTTCCTTTAGCTTTACAGTAGCCAGTCAATATTGTTTTCCACAGTTTCTTAAGTTAACTTTTATCTGCCTCGATCCCTTCAGCTAAGTTATTATGTTATTAATTTGTCATTAATTTAATATAGTTTGGTTCATTTGTTAGTGCTTGTATTCCATTTTGGATTTCCCCATTTCTATTGGTTTTAATAGTTTGTTTACTTAATAGTTTGTTTAGCTGGTATATAAAACATTACTATAAGAGTCAGAATTATACAAAGAATTATACTGAAAAAAGTGTCACTCCCTTCTTACCCCTGCTACCTCTTCCCATTCCTCCTTCTTTCTACCCTTTTCTTTCTCACCTACCTCCCATAAGGAACCAATCTTTCCAGTTTTTGGTTTATCTTTCTTGTATCTCTTTTGTGCCAATTAACAGAAAACTGTGTGTTTTCTTACATTTCTTATATTTCTCACCCAAGGGTATCATACTATAGATACTCTTTTGCACTTTGCCTTATCACTTAAATGTATATCCTGAAATTAACTCTATATTAGTTCATAGAGATCTTCCTCAGTCATTTTTGTAGCTACATATTACTTCACTGTGTGAATATGCTCTAGTTTATTTGATCAATCTCTTATGTATGTACATTAAAGTTGTTTTCAATATTTTATAATTCCAAACAATGCTGCAATGAATAACTCTGGGTATGCAACCCTCAATTTTAATTGTTGTTTTTTTTTGTTTTTTTTTTGAGACAGAGTCTTGCTTTTGTTGCCCCGGCTAGAGTGAGTGCCGTAGTGTCAGCCTAGCTCACAGCAACCTCAAACTCCTGGGCTCAAGCGATCCTCCTGCCTCAGCCTCCCAAGTAGCTGGGACTACAGGCATGTGCCAC